CCCCCCCCCCCCAACCGCTACGTTCCTGCCGAAATACTGTCCTTTGTGGAAGGTAATTAATTGATCAAAGTAAAAAAATTGATCAAACGTAACAGTTAACTTTAATTATTTAAATTTTATGTATGAGTGATAAATTTGTGCTTTTGGACGACATCAATGCACGTTTATATTTCTCTTTCAACACAGTCTTATTGTTACTAAAAATCTAATGTGTTAGTTAATTAAAACATTGAAATCCTACTATTTTCAAATAAACATTGGCATTCTAGCTAACGTTTTAACTAAGGTTGTAGATTTTTAGTAACAAGACTGTGTTGAATTAGAGAAATATAGACAGATAATTATTCACCTTCGTATCAATTATAACCTCAGACACATCTCCTCGGTTCGGCTACAGAAAATGAATTCACTTAATTAAGGATGCCAAAATTTGTATGGAAAAGTACCCTGAAAGCCGGTGACACCCCCTGCCTCTATTTTTATTCCTACGCCCCCTGATAACCATAAGATGTTGGATGAGGTTTTTGTTGAACTCGAAATGATTAGGGTCGAGATCAATGAAGTGTTATCAGCTGAGGCGAAAGCCAAGTTGCCAACACTTATCGAGACCTATGCCCTACAACATGACGTTTGTGAAGGCATTCTCCACCAGTATAGTAGTTTCGTCCCGGTCAGCACAACACGATAAAGCACGAAGTTGGTCTGTGGTATGAAAAACTAGTTTCATATGATTCTGATACTACAAAGTACAACGAAAAATTCCTTGTCTCGAGCAAGATTCCAAATCGCACTTCGAGCGCCTATACCGGCGCTCTACCCATTGAGATACGGCCACTAGGCCAAGAACTCCGAGTACTTGAGCAATGGAGTCAACGGGTGCTGTAATGAGTCTTATTCAATTTCAATGCACGAAATATTTTTATGACTTCATTTGGGGACGCACAGTGTTTCAATTCTATTTCAGAACCATCATCAAAGATATGAAAAATTATATTTTCATATTATTCTCACAAGCGTTAATTAAAGTCGTCACACGAAAATATTTCGTGTACTTCGATCAATTGGCATGGATAAGACTTGGGATCTGTAGAGATAACGAATTGTTCGTTGTATTCTGCAATGTCAGAATAATATCAAAACTAGAGGTACAAGCATGCAGAAACCATCCGCCTTGCTACACAAACAACTATAATAACGTGGCGACCAGCAATTATCGAGTTTAGTGCCTTAATCTATTAATCTTCAGGTATAGTAGTATCATCTACAAACGTTCGCAGTTTGTATTCTTCTCTACCTACACTGACGCCGAAAGTTGGTTATTTAAACTATTAATATTTTGATATTATTCTAAACCATTCACTATATTATGCAAATGGTGTCCTTGCGCGAGTGTGTTTCTAAAATGGACGTATTTTCATCTCAGTTTTTATCATGAAGGTTTTCCAATCATTTTTCCAATGGTGCCAGGTAATTCCATACGAGTTCACACTTGGGAAATACACACCATTGAGATTAGAGGGGGCACACCCTTTGTACCACCAAGCACCTTGGCGTTTCGTCGCGCAGTACTCGTCACTCTTTATGTCATTATCTCTGTCTTTGGTCGTGAACATCATCCCGTTGAGATTACTGAATGAATCACCGGCATCGCCTTAAAAATAATCAGAGAAAGTTTAGGAGTTTAATTACGGTTACCAGATTCCCATGCTGGATTGACTTTTTTTCACCCCTGGTCAACAGTGGCGTAGGAAGATAGGTAAACTTAGGGGAGGGGGCGTTTGAAAGGTTGTATTTTCTAAATCGGCCGATGTGGGATTCTCTGAGTTTTCTCTATTGTCGTTGTGACTTTAGCAGGGTAGCCCATTCAGCTGTTAAGCTGGTATCTGTAGTGTTTTGACATTTGAAGTTCAAGAAAAGCAAGGAACTAAAAGTGGAAACATCATTTAAGTGAAGCATCACGGGAGTTGTGTTACATGTGGACTATATATTGGGCTAAGTAGTTTTGTGTTGTAAAAAAAGCAATAAAATTAGAAGCAATCGAGCAAGTACACGAGTGGAATAGTACATTGGCGACGAGGATGGTGATTTTTCTGTGTCGGTGAGGAGTTTCCTGTTATTTTGTGTACGTTTGGTGTGATTTTTTCGAAAGGATATGTCGGACAACGAAGCCGTCGAAGGGGCTAGTGCCAGTCAACAAAGTTCTAGCCAAGAATCGGCTCAATTTAAGGCAACTGAAATTAAGGGTCTTGCTTGCTTTAACCCCAGGGATGACCCGAATACTCTGTCTATTCGTTGGAAACGTTGGAAGCGATCATTTAACTTATATTTACGGGCAAAAGGGATCACAATGGACTCGCAAAAGGTGGCACTGCTGTTGCATACTGGGGGCGATGATTTTCAAGAATTATATTACACATTGATACCTGAGAATGAAGAAAAGGGCTTTAAGGAAAGTTTTGAAGTGTTAGATAATTGTTTTGTGCCAAAAGTGAACATTCCTTTCGAGAGACACTTGTTTAGACAAATGTGTCAAGTTGCAGGAGAGACGGTGGATCAATTTGTTTGTCGGTTGAGACAGAAAGCTTTCACATGCGAGTTTGCAGATGTTGACGAGACAATAAGAGACCAGCTTATTGAAAAATGTAGAAATACTAAACTTCGTCGAAAGTTTTTGGAGAAAATTAATGCAAGTTTGAAAGATTTGCAGGATATTGCAAGAGCACATGAAGCGGTTGAAATTCAGATGAGATCTTTGGAGCAGTCTGATTCACAGCAATCAGAGGACGGTCAAATAAATGCAGTCGGTCAATTCGGCAAGAAAAACCAGAGGGGAAACAAAGATGGTGTTCATGGAAACAACACAAGTGGTCGATATGGTAGGGGAACATTTGGTCAAAAAACTGGAACTGATCAAAGGTGCTTCAACTGTAACCGTGTGGGTCATTTTGCTCGGGATACTATCTGCCCGGCTAGAGATCAGAGGTGCAATGAATGTGGAATTCGTGGGCATTTTTCTGCGTGCTGCAGGAAAAAGAATAGTAAGATACCACAAGGACGGAATCAAGAAGAGGACGAGAGCAGAAAGAAGAAAGTGTATCAGGTAGATGATGAAGAGAATCCAAGAACCAGGGAGGACTATGCATTTGTTGTAGGAGAAAACAGAACAGGTGCGGGAGATTACTCGTATGATTGGTGGAGTCCAGCTGGATGGCGTACTTATTGACTCTGGTGCTTCATGTAATTTGGTTGATTATGAAACATGGACTAATTTGAAGAATAATAATATTGATTGCCAGTCAACAAAGTCCGAGAAGAAGCTGTTCGCCTATGGCCAGAAAGAACCTATTGAAGTTGCTGGGACATTTGTGGCTGAAATTGTTTGCAAGGCTAGTGGTGAGAAATCCATAGAGGAGTTCACAGTAATAAAGGGTGCCGGGAAACCTTTGCTTGGAAAGAGTACTGCAGAGAAACTTAAAGTGTTGCATGTTGGTCCCTTTTATGGTGCTCAAGGAAGTGATACGGATATTCGTAAGGAGTATGCAGATACATTTTTTGGAGTGAGAAAGCTGAAAAATTATCAATTGAAACTGCACATCAACAAGGATGTAAAACCAGTGCCACAAGGGGTTCGAAGGCTTCCATTTGGTCTGCGAGGTAAAGTGGATGAAAAATTGGATGACTTGCTGGCGAAAGATATCATCGAGGAAGTACCGAACAGTCCAACAGAGTGGGTCTCACCTTTGGTGGTGGTGCCAAAACCGGACGGTGATGTGAGGGTATGTATCGATATGCGTAAAGCGAATGAGGCGATAGCGCGGGAAAGA